CATACTATATTAAGTGCCACCACGACTTCTAGGATCAGAATTTCTGATCCCGATTAAATCTTAACTGATTTTTGGTAAAATTTCTTTGTATCTAGATCATAATGTGTGTAAAAATTTGTACTATTTCAATATGAATGGAGACAACGTTTTTTTCTCTCTGGAAATTTTGAAGTTATTTTTAAAAGAACTTGTAATCCTTAGACCAGGAAGTAGAAAATAAATCCACGTCACAGAATTGGTAACAAATATTGTCTAGTTGGAGCAATTATTCTGGATTGAAAACCTTAAGTGTGACTCGTTGTTTGTATATAGATATACACTTCTGTGGATTTATATACATATAAATAACTTGTTTACCTTTGTTAGCTCCGTACGCCATTTAAAGGGTATATGTTATGGTACCTTGTAGATAATAAAGCTTACTTTAATTACACAAGTGTAGTGTTTCCTTCAGAAATGTGATGTGGTATGCAATGTACTTTACCGAGGCCGTAATGCTCCTTTTATGTGTTGACGGGCCGTTAGGAGTGTCATTATAATATTACCAATATATGAGATAATTTTGATGTAGCATTAATCGCATTGAATAAAGTTCACGGTTGACCGGAGTGGCATTAAGTCGATATCACTTTAGTAAAAAATATATAAGTATATATATTGGATAATTACCTATAGAGTCACGTGATACCCGTCATCGGATTGTCAGTACTCTCATATCACTATGACAAAAAACGAGGGTACATCGTTCGGGTCAGGACGAACGTCACATGAGGTACGGTTAATCCTGTATTAACGTAAACGATGGCGCCATTTTGTAATTTGCACGAAACAATTGGGTTATTCCTATTTGTCACAACATAATCACTCCTGTTGTGATAATTATCCGTCCTATTTAACAATATGGTAGGTTTTGGTTACTCGCAATATCGATACACAAACTTTTAAATTAATCATCACGGAGGATGTTTGGGGAAGTATCATACCTAAGGATTTATCATCGATGTAATATTTCTCATTCACATCGTGTTTCTAAATTTCCTTTGAAAAAAATAAACTGATGACAAAATACCTGCTGGTTCCTAATAAATTATCGGTTACATTTTTATACCGTAATAAACACTTTTGAGTGAATATTGATTTCAGCCTATGACTATCGTCTAGTCTTTTGTCATGTTAATAGTAAGAGCGTGGAGTATAAGAAACTCTCACTGTATAAACCCTTGAGAACATTGACCTTCATGATTTAAATAACACATAGGGTTGGGCTCTCATTTTCCGAGAAAACACCATTAGATGTTTCCTTATCTGAACAATCAATCAGCGCACATTATGCAAACATTCCTACATATTCATATCACGTACATAACTTATGAATTACACATCAGAAGTTAGTGGAATATGCAGATGATAGAATCTGTTCCTAGCTGTATCCAGGATATTAATCGTGACATGATAATTAACGAAAAATTGCGCAATATAAACCGAATTATTTTAAAATATTGTCAACGTTTACTGTTTTCATGGTCCATAAACCTGCAGGAGACAGTGTACCTTTTCGTGTATCTAACTGCATATCATACGGGACGACTAATTGTTCAACCTCAGTCCTTGCATGTCGGAAAGAATTTCTCTGGCGTCATCTAGCTGTTAAAGTGATATATGAGAGCCCAACGATAGGCCTGTTGTATTTCTGTGCATGATCGTCTGAGGCGACTAAAAGTTGGTCCGATAGAGAATCGAGGATTTTCTTTTGTGATTTCCACCAATCATCAATGGGGCACCGAGGAGGTCAAAATAGAGTTGTTGCCCATTGCAACACTGACACCTCGATCTTGTCATTTCTTTCCTGTCTGTCCTTACCACTTTTTGTCCGTTTTGAAGGTCGTCTTTTTTTTTTACCCTGGCTGTTTAGAGGACTTTAAACGCGCGTAGAAATACTAGTAAAGAACTAAAACCTGAATAATTAGGTGTTAGTATCAACATGTTTGTCTTAAATGTTGAGCCTTAAGAAAGTACCAACACCAAGGTCGAGGTCAAATCTACAGAAAACTACTCATATCTTCAACACTCAACAGTTTCGGGGATGTCTTATTACCAGAAACACGAAAAAATGAACTTAGAAGCTTTGGCATAAGATTCCATTGTCTTCTACAAAATCGAAGAAATTTGGAAACATCTTGATGCATGTATCAAAAGACTGTCACAAAGTGTATCTAAGCGCACCTTCTGAAAAGAAACAGACCACATATGGCCAAAGTTTCCTGGCTTATTACTTTTTCTAGCTCTTCCGTCTGTGAAAGCACATTAAGACACGACGTCTGGTGTCATGTACGTCTCTGCATCATTCTAATCCATGTTGTAACCCCGAAGATGAATTATTTACAGCAAAATGTTTCTCTATACGTTGCCAATACCTAAAGTCAACACAGTCAGAGAACTTATACCCCGAAATGCTGAAGGAAGATAAAACGGTATCGTTACATACGATATATATTTGTATATTTGTATGAAATCGTTGAAAGTGACACGACTATAACAACATTTTAGCCAGACGTTTTTGTGCAAAATGCGAAGCACTGATTAAATTTTCTCAATTGATAAATTTTATGTTTCAATAAGTGCCCTAAAAGATTCCCATTAAACATTGTAAGATTAGAGATATACATATATGGTATGTTGAACTTTGACAATTTTGCTTAGGTAATCGGAAAGGGAAGGATTTGGAACACACGAACCTTTCGTGCTTGAGAACTTATTTGTATGCAAGAAAACATCTAATCTAGAGTTTAATATTACACGTGTTTGAAGCATGGTCTGTTTACCTTAAATGTCCTTTAAGGATGAAAGCTGATTTTTTTTTAAACTCGACTAAATGTTAGGGAACAAAGTGACATCATGTTTATAGGTCAGCTACAGGGCGTGCACATCTATGTCAAGCGGGGTTATTTTTTAACTTTACCAGCTATGTTAAGGCATGCATGTCCAATATTAGAATGCTGATGGGTACGGGGTGTAGGTGTCAGTTCACACAGTTGACCTGTACAGCGATGTGGAACAAGATATATGAAAAATGATTGTACATCCAGGCATTATATTATTTTAAAGGGTTGATTATACAGACAGCTATAAAATATGTAACATTCCACCCTTACTCTTCTGGTAATATTATCAATGTGAGAACTGCAACTGTCGGGTAACACTGACACACTACTAAAAGTTATTTCCGAGCTATTTCAATATCTATTTTTCATACACACGCAAAAGTTGATCTAGGGCCGACATGACCCAGTGAAGAAGAAAACGTATTGCATGACATTTTATAATAAAACCTTTGGTACAGAGGGGACATAGGTATATTCCTCTATTCTGTGCGTCCGTAATACGTATTAGGTTCGTCCGTAATACGTATTATGTTCGTCCGTAATAGGTATTATGTGCGTCCGTAATAGGTATTACGTGTGTCCGTGATAGGTATTACGTGTGTCCGTGATAGGTATTACGTGTGTCCGTGATAGGTATTATGTGCGTCCGTAATAGGTATTACGTGCGTCCGTGATAGGTATTATGTGTTTATGTAAAAGATAAAAAAAATTTTTTTTCAGATTGTAGAAGAGACAAAAAGTAAATAGCACCTTTCAATGCAAATTTTGAATAAGATACGCTAGAGTCAAATAATGAAACAGCCACATACAGCTGTTTCATCCTTCTAGCTAGAACTCGTCAGTGATGCTACATCATACAGCTGTTTCATCCTTCTAGCTAGAACTCGTCAGTGATGCTACATCATACAGCTGTTTCATCCTTCTAGCTAGAACTCGTCAGTGATGCTACATCATACAGCTGTTTCATCCTTCTAGCTAGAACTCGTCAGTGATGCTACATCATACAGCTGTTTCATCCTTCTAGCTAGAACTCGTCAGTGATGCTACATCATACAGCTGTTTCATCCTTCTAGCTAGAACTCGTCAGTGATGCTACATCATACAGCTGTTTCATCCTTCTAGCTAGAACTCGTCAGTGATGCTACATCATACAGCTGTTTCATCCTTCTAGCTAGAACTCGTCAGTGATGCTACATCATACAGCTGTTTCATCCTTCTAGCTAGAACTCGTCAGTGATGCTACATCATACAGCTGTTTCATCCTTCTAGCTAGAACTCGTCAGTGATGCTACATCATACAGCTGTTTCATCCTTCTAGCTAGAACTCGTCAGTGATGCTACATCATACAGCTGTTTCATCCTTCTAGCTAGAACTCGTCAGTGATGCTACATCATACAGCTGTTTCATCCTTCTAGCTAGAACTCGTCAGTGATGCTACATCATACAGCTGTTTCATCCTTCTAGCTAGAACTCGTCAGTGATGCTACATCATACAGCTGTTTCATCCTTCTAGCTAGAACTCGTCAGTGATGCTACATCATACAGCTGTTTCATCCTTCTAGCTAGAACTCGTCAGTGATGCTACATCAAACAGCTGTTTCATCCTTCTAGCTAGAACTCGTCAGTGATGCTACATCATACAGCTGTTTCATCCTTCTAGCTAGAACTCGTCAGTGATGCTACATCATACAGCTGTTTCATCCTTCTAGCTAGAACTCGTCAGTGATGCTACATCATACAGCTGTTTCATCCTTCTAGCTAGAATTCGTCAGGGAAGGCCTACGTTATTGAAACATAGGAGGCGTCGGAAGAAAATCCAAATTGATCGTTGCAAATGTCTTACCCTAGTTAGGCAGGAACAGTAACTCATGGATTCAATATTTTCCTAAGTTTCGATGATTATTTAAGAAACAATTGCATTCTGTACTAATGGTTCCGACAGAACCCCATGGATTTTGTAAGTTTTCGGAAACAAAACATACAGACTTTAGTAGGTTAATCTGAAGAAACATATCTCAGCGAGTACATATATATGCTACTGAATATAAAATCTCTGCCATCTCCAAAGTATTATGAATTGTCGATCTTCATTTCAGACAGTTAGAACAACACACAAGATGGCGACAGTTCTCCCATTTTCCGGAAGTAACACGGACAAGCAGGTGTTGTCCCGGTATTTGGACATCCCCCAGCCTGATAGGACAGTCCAGGTGGAGTACGTTTGGATCGATGGGACGGGGGTCGGCATCAGGAGCAAGTGCAAAACCATGGACTTCGAACCCCAAAGCCCGAAAGGTAACAAATAGATGTAGGGTCGTTAGCTATGATCAAGGGTTTGCTTGTCAGTGTCCCTATTGGTGCGGTTTGTTTGGTTGGAATAAAAAGGTGAAACTACAAATATATATATTCTAGTTTGCTGTACACTGACACAAACATGATGCATTTACTTTAAAAAAATTGGTATTCACATGAATGTATATATTATGTGGTTAGCACGGATCAATATCCGTTTTGTAATTGTACGCTGTTATGATTAGAAAGAACATGTTTTTAAAAAAAACTTAAATGACATACACATTATGTGGCAATTATCCTTTTTGGTTTTCGGAATATTACGAAAACGAGGGACCAAACGCCTTCCACGAGTTTATATTGAGGGATTACCTTATAAACTACCAGTTTATCCTATACCTCTATACATCAAAAGTATTGAATCTTATTCATGGATAACGATGTTGTAATCGTTTTCCCCCGTTTGGCTTGGACAAATTCTCATTTCCCCCTTCGGTTCGCTGTCCGTTTGTACTGAACAAATTCTGTTTCTTCAAAAAAAATTGGTTCGCATGTCCGTATATGTACTGAGGAACAAATTCGTTTCTGTACCATTGTCGCTGTTTGTACTGAACAAATTCTGTTTCTTCACCATTGGTTCGCTGTCCGTTTGTACTGAACAAATTCTGTTTCTTCACCATTGGTTCGCTGTCCGTTTGTACTTAACAAATTCTGTTTCTTCACCATTGGTTCGCTGTCCGTTTGTACTTAACAAATTCTGTTTCTTCACCATTGGTTCGCTGTCCGTTTGTACTGAACAAATTCTGTTTCTTCACCATTGGTTCGCTGTCCGTTTGTACTTAACAAATTCTGTTTCTTCACCATTGGTTCGCTGTCCGTTTGTACTGAACAAATTCTGTTTCTTCACCATTGGTTCGCTGTCCGTTTGTACTGAACAAATTCTGTTTCTTCACCATTGGTTCGCTGTCCGTTTGTACTGAACAAATTCTGTTTCTTCACCATTGGTTCGCTGTCCGTTTGTACTGAACAAATTCTGTTTCTTCACCATTGGTTCGCTGTCCGTTTGTACTTAACAAATTCTGTTTCTTCACCATTGGTTCGCTGTCCGTTTGTACTGAACAAATTCTGTTTCTTCACCATTGGTTCGCCGTCCGTTTGTACTGAAGAAATTCTGTTTCTTCACCTTTGGTTCGCTGTCCGTTTGTACTGAACAAATTCTGTTTCTTCACCATTGGTTCGCTGTCCGTTTGTGCCGGACAGATGATCACTCTTCACCATAGATTCGGTGCTTGTTTAGCATGTTACATTTTGTATTCATTACCCATTGCTACTTTAATAGGTAAACATACTCCCTATTAACACCTTCTAACATAACGATAGGGCTATCACGTGATTTGTGTACCGACTGAAGACCATCAGATATGTAAAAGTGGAAAGAAAAGGTCAAACTAAAACATAAAGCTATTACCACGTTGATTATGGTATCTTCTTATAAACAGTAAGCGTAATCTGTAAGATTCGTGCAATTAGTCTGAAAAAGACGGCATGTATCAAACTGATCATGGCGAACTTAAATACGCTCATCAGACGTCGCGCCGATAGGCTGTATCCCAAGCTTGACGAGGTAAGTTAAGAGCTACATCAATGCAAGTTTGCAAAACTTAATGAGAATACCACGACATTCTTTACAATGATTAAGTACTTGCGAAAAGCTTAATCTCACAACACAACAAATAGGAGAGATGCAGAATGTTGATATGCTCCGATTTTGACTTGTGGTTCTGTCGTCATTTCTCCGTTTCTCATCTGATATTATGCGGATTTGACATCAGATGTAGTGACGGGTGTCCAGTTAAAAACATCAGATGTTGAGACGGGTGTCCAATTAAAAACATCAGATGTAGTGACGGGTGTCCAATTAAAAACATCAGATGTTGAGACGGGTGTCCAATTAAAAACATCAGATGAACTGACGGGTGTCCAATTAAAAACATCAGATGAACTGACGGGTGTCCAATTAAAAACATCAGATGAACTGACGGGTGTTAAAGTAGAAACATCAGATGTAGTGACGGTTGTCGAAGTAGAAACATTTGATGAACTGACATTACAAAATAACCACTCAAACCTACAATGGCATAGAAATTCCGTGTCAAGGACGAGAGTAAACATTCAGAATAAAACAACAAAGATTAAGATCAAAATTCCGACTCGGATTCTACAACACAATGACAACATATAGATTATGTGAAAAGGACAAGAATAGCGGCGACAGAAGGCGTGTTATCATTTGTCCGTATCTTCCATTATCGTCATTTATACTCAATCAAAATTTTTGTTATTTGTTTGAAAGCTGAGTGTGTTTTACATATATGTATATATTGTTATTACAAGTCCAAAACAGGAGATAGGGCGATCATGTCGTTTTATTCTCTTCATATAGCTAATACATGTGCTCTCGTCGCCTGGCTGATTGCCGGTGTGGGTATCATTTGTACATAGATTTGTTTTCTGTGTTGTTTATAAACAGGTTGGTAATGATACATGCGTTTTGTTGTTCAAAAACCAGATATGATTGTATTCGTTATCATATCAAACATTTCAGATTCATTCAACAGTGAAATTAAGGTTTTGCTCAATAACAATAAAATCACAGCATGTTACATGCAACTTAATAAATGATGCTAGCGAGTTGTTAAGGTAGTTTTATAATAAGAGCAGCGTTGTTCATACAAATGACACAACAACTGTAATTCTTATCGGTGTTTGATGTATACCTCTTGTGTATGCGCGCTTCAGTGACTACGCGGATGTTACCAAGTGCATCGGAATCATAATAGACATGCGCGGAACAGTGGTTGATTTAATGAAATTAATATACAGCATAAAAGCATAGATATAAAGAGTGTGTGTCTTTCATATCATTCCAGAACATCATCACAAAGAAATATCATTATCGACAGTGATTTCCTGTTTGACACATGCAGATTGAACTATTAAAAAAACACCAATTCATACTGGATGATCTTCTCAGTAGAATGTTAATGGTAACCTCGATGACTAGAAAATTATCAAGAATCTATTTTTCTGATTGAGGATGAGATCGTGTGTTACAAAAATGAAAAAACCTACATCTGAATACATATCAATAATATCTCGTAGCTTTCATGTAGCCAACTGATGGAGAATAGGCAACGCCCTAGGTAGGTGTAATGAAGGATAGGACACGCCTTAGGTAAAGTGTAATGGAGAATAGGACACGCCCTAGGTAAAGTGTAATGGAGAATAGGACACGCCCTAGGTAGGTGTAATGGAGAATAGGACAAGCCCTAGGTAAAGTGTAATGGAGAATAGGCAACGCCCTAGGTAGGTGTAATGGAGGATAGGACACGCCCTAGGTAGGTGTAATGGAGGATAGGCCACGCCCTAAGTAGGTGTAATGGAGGATAGGCAACGTAATAGGTAAAGTGTAATGGAGAATAGGACACGCCCTAGGTAGGTGTAATGTAGAATAGGCAACGCCATAGGTTAAGTGTAATGGAGGATAGGCAACGCCCTAGTTAAATTGTAATGGAGAATAGGACACGCCCTAGGTAGGTGTAATGGAGGATAGGCAACACCCTAGGTAGGTGTAATGGAGAATAGGCCACGCCCTAGGTAGGTGTAATGGAGGATAGGCAAAGCCTAGGTAGGTGTAATAGAGAATAGGCAAAGCCTAGGTAGGTGTAATGGAGAATAGGCAACGCCCTAGGTAGGTGTAATGGAGGATAGGCAACGCCCTAGGTAGGTGTAATGGAGAATAGGCCACGCCCTAGGTAGGTGTAATGGAGAATAGGCCACGCCCTAGGTAGGTGTAATGGAGAATAGGCAACGCCCTAGGTAGGTGTAATGGAGGATAGGCAACGCCCTAGGTAGGTGAAATGGAGAATAGGCCGTGCCCTAGGTAGGTGTAATTGAGAATAGGCAACGCCCTAGGTAGGTGTAATTGAGAATAGGCAACGCCCTAGATAGGTGTAATGGAGAAAAGGCAACGCCCTAGGTAGGTGTAACGGAGAATAGGCAACGCCCTAGGTAGGTGTAATGGAGGATAGGCAACGCCCTAGGTAGGTGTAATGGAGAATAGGCAGTGCCCTAGATAGGTGTAATGGAGAAAAGGCAACGCCCTAGGTCGGTGTAACGGAGAATAGGCAACGCCCTAGGTAGGTGTAATGGAGGATAGGCAACGCCCTAGGTAGGTGTAATGGAGAATAGACAACGCCCTAGATAGGTGTAAAGGAGAATTGGCAGTGCCCTAGGTAATGTGTCATCAGGATACTGTGATTTTATCCAAATAATGATACCACCTCTTTTGGTTTTGCTGTTGGTAATTCATACATAATACGCCATATTCCACAGCTTTTGTTGTCCTGATCGTTCTATAGTAAGCATCTCTTGTTACAGATTGTCCGGTATGGAACTTTGACGGATCAAGCACGGGTCAGTCAGAGGGATCAAACTCAGACATGTACCTGCATCCTGTGGCCCTTTTCCCTGACCCCTTCAGGATGGGAAATAACAAACTGTGTCTCTGTGATGTGTACAAATACAACGATCTGCCGGCTGGTACGCATACATGTATCATATTTCATACTACAGTTTTAACAGTATAAAATATTTTCCATATTTTTGGACAAAGTCAGTAATAAAAAATTACTTATTGAATTCCGCGGTCTGTTGCCATAACATTTGTTCCTGTTTTTATGTTTATTATGGTAACACTTCCTGTTGTACAGTTGTATATGTTACCAGGGTAACAGTGATACGTTACCATAACATTTATCCTTGTTTGTATGTTGCTATGGTTACACTTCCTGTTTGTACAGTTGTATATGTTACCAAGGTAACAGTGGTATGTTACCATAACATTTATCCTTGTTTGTATGTTGCCCTGGTTACACTTCCTGTTTGTACAGTTGTATATGTTACCAAGGTAACAGTGATACTTTACCATAACATTTGTTCCTGAATTAACAGAGACGAACCACCGTCACACCTGTCTTGCTGCCATGGAGATGGTCAAGTCTTCCAGACCATGGTTCGGAATAGAACAGGAATACATCCTCTTGGACAGTGATGGACATCCATACGGCTGGCCGAAGAATGGTTTCCCAGGACCCCAGGGTAACTACATTGTACTCATATAGGTATCTAGTCTGAATTTCCCGACCCCAGGGTAAATAAATATCTGACTGCCCTTGCCCCCGTATCTTATATCGTTTCCCCTAACGCAGATGTCTCGGTAACATCCATATCTCAATAAACCTCATCAACACTCCAAACTATTCAAACCATAAGCATCTGGCACGAATTTCCCACCCATGGACCATATATACTTATCATAGTGACCTTGTCACTATTATATATATATATATAGTCCAAGGATTGGAAATCCGTGCCAAGTTCCTGTGATACAAAGTACTCGATAGTCCCTGGAGATTCAATCAGTGACAACTCGTGCATAAACTTACAAAACTCAATATCAAGCTGATTTGTATATGATGTATCTTAAGCTGCCACACATCACTGGCTTGAAGATAATGAACGTAAGATCAAAAACGGTGACGTTGCATTTTATGTGAATGTTTTTTGTCGTGTTGCCGCATGTCTTGTGAATCTCTGCGTAATTGACCTGAACAAAATTCGGGTCGTTTTGGTTTTGATAATGGCTAATAGAAAAAAAAACAATGAGTTTCCTTTTCTGTTCTCGAGTGGTATCCTAGAAAAAAAACAGTTTCAGGTGCAGTGATAATCCTCAAGCCAAGATATAGCCTTAAAGCCATGAAAAAGTCATGCCCAATGTGGCTCTCCGCACCTCCAGTGCTCTTGGGTATGGTCTCGGTCCAGAGTCGTTTTGGTCGAGAGAACATAATGGCCAGCGATATCGTTCAGACTGCCAACTGTTGCTCTCAGATACAGTATAAAGATGTATGCTTTAACAGTCGACTGATTGTCCTTTCTATCTGCACTGTACACATTTTACTTCTTTCAAAAGAATTTAAATGTGTACAGTAAATTACAAGATTTTTTTTAATCACAGCGAGACACTTTCCGCTACATCAGTGTGTATCATAGCCCAAAGCATCAGGTACATTTTTGTTAACTGTTTACAACAGAAATTGTCAAATGTAAACGATACAACTACTGAAGTGTGTAAACTAAAACAAACAACTGAATGTGATAAGCTAGTATGGGCCCAGCTCCTGTTGTGAGGAAAGCAACAGAACAATTTGGGGGATGCTATGGAACTCGAGATCTTGTTAAAGACATGAATGGTTGTCGAGAAAGATGTCATGGACGCCGACATTCTGAATGGTTGTCAGGGGGACGTTGTAGAATTTGTATATATATACATAATTAATTGTGTCAAATTCTTAATTAACGTACAAGATGGCGGAGGACAATTCTATACGAAGACATAATTATGTCCAGACGTTTCGTTCATTACAGCATGACAGAAACACTGTAGCAAATATTCGTAAACAAACAACATAGCAATAAACATGACGTTATGAAATTCGGTAACACAAATGCAACACCACTACAGAAATTAAATTATCCAAAAATACACGAAGGGTTTGTTTAAAGTATATTTCAGTATGCAATTAACGAACATTAGAGGTCTATTACATTTAATCCAACAACAGTAATTTTTCAGAAATTATTCCAACATAATAACAATTATTGACCGAGGAGAGTTTTCCCTTTTATGTGTAGCATGCAAAAGATATTTACCAAGTTTGTTTAAAACCTTCACACTTTTACAGGAAAATAATTCTATTAGTTTATAGACAGTTGGATGGCGATAATAGTACTTTTTAATGTATCTACTTCTTAAATCAGAATATGTAGGACAAAGTAGTACAAAATGTATTTCATCCTCAATATCATTTTGATCACAAACTGTACAAATTCTCTGACTTCTGGGAATGTTATTTTAACGACCTAGTTCAATGTTAAGATTGTGTCCTTGCATGCGAAATTGACTCAGTAATTGTTTTTTATCTAACATTAATGGGCTAACTAAGGTGAAACTGAATACCAAATATATACACAACTCTTGAATAAATACGTCATGCACACGTTGCGTGTACGTTTGCAAAAAAAGTATTCTCATTAGATACATTTTGGTTTAATCAGATATGATTAAATCCAAAATTACATAGTTCATGTTTAACCGATAAACCCTATTAAATTTACATTTAATGTGGTATGTTTTGCTGGTGGTGTTTATATGGATTGTTATCTGACGGAGCACTGAATTAAGTCTTACATGATTGGCTCGGATAAACCCTAATATATCCAACCTCATTTACCCACAAGTGTGACTCATCTTCTGGTACATCAGCACTAACTGCCTTCAGACAACTAGGCCTGTAGTGTACATACAGTTATCTCCCTTTCATGTTATACACAATAAGGTCATGTTAACCCCTGCACTTCTGCAGGACACAACCAATGACAGTAACACATCGGGCAGATAGACTGAGGAAGCGAGGAGTACAACACATGCCTGCTCTGGTAGACAATCACAAATCTGGGTTAATTTCATAACCTGAACGAAATTTCTCACTTTTCTGTAGTTTATCTGTCACTGAAGTGGTGATGACAAATATTCGGCCACGTTGGCACTGTATCGATTGAATCTGAGTAGTTTTGGAGAGAAAAGTCATTAGAAAAAAATCCAGAGATAACACAAAGTCAGCATCAATTACAAGTACCAGTGGAACTTCAACTGTGACATTTATATGTGATAGTCAGGTTCTTCCTCGTCCTGGTGCAAGTGTGTAACTGGGTTTATCTGAAAGTAGTCTCAGTCACTGAAAACAGAAATTCTACATAGTCATCAGGTCACTGGGTCACTGAAAACAGAAATTCTACATAGTCACCAGGTCACTGGGTCACTGAAAACAGAAATTCTACATAGTCACCAGGTCACTGGGTCACTGAAAACAGAAATTCTACATAGTCACCAGGTCACTGGGTCACTGAAAACAGAAATTCTACATAGTCACCAGGTCACTGGGTCACTGAAAACAGAAATTCTACATAGTCACCAGGTCACTGGGTCACTGAAAACAGAAATTCTACATAGGCACCAGGTCACTGGGTCACTGAAAACAGAAATTCTACATAGGCACCAGGTCACAGGGTCACTGAAAACAGAAATTCTACATAGTCATCAGGTCACTGGGTCACTGAAAACAGAAATTCTACATAGTCACCAGGTCACTGGGTCACTGAAAACAGAAATTCTACATAGTCACCAGGTCACTGAAAACAGAAATTCTACATAGTCATCAGGTCACTGAAAACAGAAATTCTACATAGTCATCAGGTCACTGAAAACAGAAATTCTACATAGTCACCAGGTCACTGGGTCACTGAAAACAGAAATTATACATAGTCACCAGGTCACTGAAAACAGAAATTCTACATAGTCATCAGGTCACTGAAAACAGAAATTCTACATAGTCACCAGGTCACTGGGTCACTGAAAACAGAAATTCTACATAGTCATCAGGTCACTGAGTCACTGAAAACAGAAATTCTACATAGTCACCAGGTCACTGAAAACAGAAATTCTACATAGTCACCAGGTCACTGGGTCACTGAAAACAGAAATTCTACATAGTCACCAGGTCACTGAAAACAGAAATTCTACATAGTCATCGGGTCACTGGGTCACTGAAAACAGAAATTCTACATAGTCATCAGGTCACTGGGTCACTGAAAACAGAAATTATACATAGTCACCAGGTCACTGAAAACAGAAATTCTACATAGTCATCAGGTCACTGGGTCACTGAAAACAGAAATTCTACATAGTCACCAGGTCACTGAAAACAGAAATTCTACATAGTCATCAGGTCACTGAAAACAGAAATTCTACATAGTCATCGGGTCACTCGGTCACTGAAAACAGAAATTCTACATAGTCACCAGGTCATTGAAAACAGAAATTCTACATAGTCACCAGGTCCCTGGGTCACTGAAAACAGAAATTCTACATAGTCACCGGGTCACTGAAAACAGAAATTCTACATAGTCATCAGGTCACTGAGTCACTGAAAACAGAAATTCTACATAGTCATCAGGTCACTGAAAACAGAAATTCTACATAATCATTGGGTCACTGAAAACAGTAATTCTACATAGTCATCAGGTCACTGAAAACAGAAACTCTACATAGTCATCAGGTCATTGAAAACAGAAATTCTACATAGGCACCAGGCCACTGAAAACAGAAATTCTACATAGTCATCAGGTCACTGAAAACAGAAATTCTACATAGTCATCAGGTCACTGAAAACAGAAATTCTACATAGGCACCAGGTCACTGGGTCACTGAAAACAGTAATTCTACATAGTCATCAGGTCACTGAAAACAGAAACTCTACATAGTCATCAGGTCACTGAAAACAGAAATTCTACATAGGCACCAGGTCACTGAAAACAGAAATTCTACATAGTCATCAGGTCACTGAAAACAGAAATTCTACATAGTCATCAGGTCACTGAAAACAGAAATTCTATATAGGGACTCGTTGGACAAACATGCACGTTACCGTAAAGATAGCTATAAAAGAAATATATACTTAATATATATATATTTACGAATAAAGATTTGCGTTTCTAAACAAATGAAAAACTAGAAGGACGTTTATGGTTGCCATTACAAAGATGTGTCAACTACTAGTGTTCATCTCTGGATTTCTTGATCTCACATAGATCTGGTTCATGACGTGTCACAAAAATTACAAATCTTTTGCGCTACGATCTATAAACGTTAACCTTAATTTGTTACACAACCTTCACTGGATGCAAAGTTCACGGATCTTGGTAATTTCCATTCATCATTTCCATGCGAGACAGAAAAGTATAACATTAAGGTTGCACACACTTAATTTCTATTTGGCCTTCCAAAGATCACGCACATAGCCACATCGATGCCATGTTTACAACCATGACCTAAGAAATGTGTCCCAGTATGTCAGTGTTATATAAAAATTATTAGAGCGAAAACGATGAATACATTATTACCGTACACATGTTAATCTCCCATGACGAAGCCTTGGTAGAGTTTGAAACTGTGACCCAGTTTTTGACCGGTATGAAACACTCACTTCCGTATATTTCCACTAAGAATTCTTACAAACAAATCTATCAATGTATGGACAATAACACAGTTTATGGATAAAAAAACGAACTTTTTTATTGGTAAAGATATTCCATATACATTCGTTTGGTACTGTATTTTTTCTGAAATTTGTGTTATGTGATTTATATAACATATTGTATGGAGTGTGTAGCTATCAGTTTTCCTATAAAGGAGAGAAACAACATTTCCCATTAAATCTTTATATATGTAAAAAAAAATGGACAAATAGAGAATAACCCGATAGTACTAGGAGAGCACGTGCTACCCGTCAGATCTTACGCGGTTGGTAGTTAGCATCCTTTATATATTAAAATCTCAAGGGAAACACTTCTCGATCACAACATGACCTCGTGTTCACCACGGCTGACTGATTCAAGTGTACTTTCGAACAAGGATATACACGTGAACCAGTCAATAATGAACACGAGATCACGACAAATCTGATAATATTTTGAGCTGATATCGAGTTCTGCAATTCACTGACTTATAAACAAACGAACATAGTCTCGCCTAATATTGACTGTAAATTATTCATCCTCTCGGTCTTATCGAACATAGTCCGTACCCGAAATGATAAAAACACATTCTAGAACTTACAAAACATAAAGTGCCTAACTTTCAGATACCAGGTCCATGGGATGCATTTGAGTAATGTTGCGTCTTGATAAAGGGGGAGGTTGCCTCAAAAAGTTGACATTTGCACTGATGTTATTACTTCATTGATCATATGTCTATTCCAGTAATTCGCATCCAACGAACATTTGTTTTGTTAGGATCCAGTAACAATATTGGACCGTCGATATTACTTACTAGATTCTCTCTCTCTCTCTCTCTCTCTCTCTCTCTCTCTCTCTCTCTCTCTCTCTCTCTCTCTCTCTCTCTCTCTCTCTCTCTCTCTCTCTCTCTCTCTCTCTCTCTCTCTCTCTCTCTCCTCTCTCTCTCTCTCTCTCTCTCTCTCTCTCTCTCTCTCTCTCTCTCTCTCTCTCTCTCTCTCTCTCTCTCTCTCTCTCTCTCTCTCTCTCTCTCTCTCTCTCTCTCTCTCTCTCTCTCTCTCTCTCTCTCTCTCTCTCTCTCTCTCTCTCTCTCTCTCTCTCTCTCTCTCTCTCTCTCTCTCTCTCTCTCTCTCTCTCTCTCTCTCTCTCTCTCTCTCTCTCTCCACATAAGGTATAATATACTATGAATTGCGTTATAACGTTTTGTCCAGAACTGAATATTTACTGATGTTTTTCCTACTCTCCATAAAGTCTATTTTTGTTAGCTGGAAAGATTTCGCGAGGTTATTTCGAATATGTCAATATCAACCAATATGAATTACATAACCTTGACATCCATATTAAGGGAGAGGCCCTGCATCATACATCATACCGACAGGATGGTATTTACAGCAATTGATTAAAAGTCAGATAAATGAATTTAAAGACTGGACCTATTGGAATCATACATCGCATATAGTTTAACTTCTTGAACAGACAACAAGGAAAAGTCATGTATAAATATCAGGACATGTATGTTTTATTTTCCGGCAAGAAATACTAGCACCAATTATGTCGACATTCCTTTTCCGCGCTGGTTTTATGAAAAATACGAAATGTCACAATCGGATTAGGGCACCTACAGTTGGCATACATATATACATTGTACAATGTATTTTGCCTGTTCGTCTATCAGGATTGCCTACCTGCTATAACAATATAGGCACTTTTGGACGGATAGGTGGTAGAGTCCTAATTAGATATGATGGGAAACTTGAGTCTTCGTCCCATAGTGTCAAAATGTTGAGTTATATAAAACCAGATGCTGTCTTAGTTGGAGAAAGTGTAAAGTTCGTCTCCGTCATGACGACTTCCTTGTTTACAAGCGTTATACAAATAAATTCGACATTCATGTTAAATTAAGAACAAATATGAACATAAGACTTCGAACTCCTGTGTCAGTTTGGTATGTTTGAACGCGTCTCTTTAATGGTATATGACTCGAATGCCCCCTCCCTCACGTGCTATGTAGGGCACCTCACCTGAAGTCAGTATCTATTCATTAATATTTAACATGATTTTTACGAAGAACATCATAATTACATGTGAAACATATGTAATGAAACGAACCGAAGTATTTTTTCATACAGGAACGATATGTAGAATCTAGTGTTCCGGAATGCGGCATGTTCCTTGCAAATCCGCTGTGGCGTTTATAATTTCTTGTATCTTCCTGATACTGTCTCCCATATCAACCTTTTCTAGTTTTAGGGGATAATTGATCACCTGTAAAATAATCTGATAATTTGCTAACATCGTTAAAAATATTTGGATATGTATTAATTATTGTTTGTGCCCTCCATTGCTCGCACATCAGTATGTGTATAATTGAGACAGACTTTCACAAAATAAGAGATAAATGCAATTTTTGATGTTGTTGTTGTTGTTGACAGGGCCTTACTACTGTGGAGTTGGGGCCAACAAGGTGTACGGAAGGGATATCGTTGAGGCACATTACCGCGCATGTCTTTACGCAGGAATTAAAATAGCTGGTTGTAACGCCGAGGTGATGCCTGGACAGGTGAGTCGTTGACGTCACTGTTTCTTGACTTACTACAATGCATTTTGGTATATCATTTCAGTATAGTGTAAAATCGACCTGCTTTATTCAATTTATTCTCAAGCCAAATCCGTTATACCAGGACTGGTCACCGACCTATTCTCACGAAGTACCAATTCCCACCCCACACCGATAAATGAAACGCGTGCATTGGCGAGAACAGGTGGACCGTCAGCACTGCTTAATTGCAAGGTCCTGTACCTACTTTGAAACACGTATACGACAACATGAGAAATATATTAGCTCCACAGCTCAGGTAACAAAATTAAATGAATTCCTTCTAACTAGAACGATGGTCAGTCAGAGCCTGTAATGTGGATTTTGCAGTAGATAGTTGAAGTATCAAATGTTTCCGCATGTTCCAGTGGGAATACCAGGTGGGACCTTGTGAAGGAATGGAGATGGGGGACCACCTATGGATTGCTCGTTACATCATGGACCGGGTCGCTGAAGACTTTGGAGTCATTGTGACCCTTGACCCTAAACCTATCACTGGGAACTGGAATGGTTCCGGGGCACATTGTAACTACAGTACAATAGCTATGAGGGAAAAGGACGGACTACGGTAACTATTGTAAAATCGATCACAGGAATCAATTCGCTTTAGATGGTCAGTGTGTTGTCCCCTTGTGTTACATCAGTGTGTGTTGTCTCGTTACGTTACATCAGTGTGTGTTGTCTCGTTACGTTACATCAGTGTGTGTTGTCTCGTTACGTTACATCAGTGTGTGTTGCCTCTTTACGTTACATCAGTGTGTTGTCTCGTTACGTTAAATCAGTGTGTGTTGTCTCGTTACGTTACATTAGTGTGTTGTCTCGTTACGTTAAATCAGTGTGTGTTGTCTCGTTACGTTACATCAGTGTGTGTTGTCTCATTACGTTACATCAGTGTGTGTTGTCTCGTTACGTTACATCAGTGTGTGTTGTCTCGTTACGTTATATCAGTGTGTTTTCTCGTTACGTTACATCAGTGTGTGTTGTCTCGTTACGTTACATCAGTGTGTGTTGTCTCGTTACGTTACATCAGTGTGTGTTGCCTCTTTACGTTACATCAGTGTGTAGTCTCGTTACGTTATATCAGTGCGTTGTCTCGTTGCGTTACATCAGTGTGTGTTGTCTCTTTACGTTATATCAGTATGTGTTGTCTCGTTACGTTACATCAGTGTGTGTTGTCTCATTACGTTACATCAGTGTGTTGTCTCGTTACGTTACATCAATGTGTGTTGTCTCGTTACGTTACATCTGTATGTTGTCTCGTTACGTTATATCAGTGTGTTGTCTAATTGTTATATCAGTATGTGTTGTCTCGTTACGTTACATCAGTGTGTTGTCTCGTTACCTTACATCAGTGTGTGTTGTCTCGTTACGTTACATCAGTGTGTGTTGTCTCGTTACGTTACATCAGTGTGTGTTGCCTCTTTACGTTACATCAGTGTGTAGTCTCGTTACGTTATATCAGTGTGCGTTGTCTCATTGCGTTACATCAGTGTGTGTTGTCTCGTTACGTTATATCAGTATGTGTTGTCTCGTTGCGTTACATCAGTGTGTTTTGTCTTGTTACGTTACATCAGTGTGTTTTGTCTCATTACGTTACATCAATGCGTTGTCTCGTTGCGTTACATCAGTGTGTGTTGTCTCGTTACGTTACATCAGTGTGTGTTGTCTCGTTACGTTACATCAGTGTGTGTTGTCTCGTTACGTTACATCAGTGTGTAGTCTCGTTACGTTATATCAGTGTGCGTTGTCTCATTGCGTTACATCAGTGTGTGTTGTCTCGTTACGTTACATCAGTGTGTAGTCTCGTTACGTTATATCAGTGTGCGTTGTCTCATTGCGTTACATCAGTGTGTGTTGTCTCGTTACGTTATATCAGTATGTGTTGTCTCGTTGCGTTACACCACTGTGTTGTCTCGTTGCGTTACATCACTGTGTTGTCCCGCTACGTTACATCACTGTGTTGTCTCGCTACGTTACATCAGTGTGTGTTGTCTCGTTACGTTACATCTGTGTGTGTTGTCTCGTTACGTTGCATCGGTGTGTGTTGTCTCGTTACGTTACATCAGTGTGTGTTGTCTCGTTCCGTTACATCAGTGTGTGTTGTCTCGTTCCGTTACATCAGTGTGTGTTGTCTCGTTACGTTACATCAGTGTGTGTTGTCTCGTTACGTTACATCAGTGTGTGTAGTCTCGTTACGTTACATCAGTGTGTGTTGTCTCGTTACGTTACATCAGTGTGTGTTGTCTCGTTACGTTATATCAGTGTGTTGTCTCGTTACGTTACATCAGTGTGTGTTGTCTCGTTACGTTACATCAGCAGTGTGTGTTGCGTTACATCAGTGTGTGTTGCCTCTTTACGTTACATCAGTGTGTAGTCTCGTTACGTTATATCAGTGTGCGTTGTCTCATTGCGTTACATCAGTGTGTGTTGTCTCGTTACGTTATATCAGTGTGTTGTCTCGTTACGTTACATCAGTGTGTGTTGTCTCGTTACGTTACATCAGTGTGTGTTGTCTCGTTACGTTACATCAGTGTGTGTAGTCTCGTTACGTTACATCAGTGTGTGTTGTCTCGTTACGTTTCATCAGTGTGTGTCTCGTTACGTTACATCAATGTGTGTAGTCTCGTTACGTTACATCAGTGTGTGTTGTCTCGTTACGTTACATCAGTGTGTGTTGTCTCGTTACGTTACATCAGTGTGTGTTGTCTCATTACGTTACATCAGTGTGTGTTGTCTCGTTACGTTTATTGTATTCTCTCTGTACTTTTGACGGTCTGAAGACGCGAGTTGATTTTATTTGCTAAAATGACGTTGTGTATTGTGTGCTGCCTCGTTAAGCTTCTTTGTCAAAAAAAATGCGAGTTTATTTTGGCATCAGTCTAAACACACTATGATGATGATGTCGTCGCTATGACCAGCGTGTTGATATTCGTTTGCACCATCATTGTCTTCATGAGATTGTTTAATTTTTCAGACATATAGAAGAAGCGATCCCAAAACTGGAAAAAAGACACAAGACACATATCAAAGGATACGATCCTACGGATGGTGCCGACAATGCCCGAAGATTAACCGGACTGCACGAAACGGCTCATATAGATGCGTTTTCGGCAGGTGTCGCCAATAGAGGGGCCAGTATCCGGATACCCCGCCAGGTGGCAGCCGATAACCAGGGATACCTGGAAGATCGACGACCATCTTCAAACTGTGATCCCTACCGAGTAACTGAACTTCTAGTCAGAACTACCATTCTAGACGAGACAGATTGAACTCTGTTAATAAGAAAAAAAACTTGTATTTTAAATATGCAGCTGTTATTTAGGAAATTAATGAAATGATAAAAAAAAATAAGATAGAAAAAATATTTTTTTACGTACCAGTTGGTTGAATATGGTACATTCATTACTACTGACACTTGTCAAAAATGAATGGAAAAACTTCCGAAAACTAGTGAATATAGCGGTCGCGTCAAGCAGGGGGTCGCTATAAAAGGTGCAAATATATAGTAAATCTCAAGGGCCGGTTCAAATATGGTCGTTATGAGCAGGGGGTCGTTATATGAAGGCGGTCGTTAGTACAGGTTTGACTGTATGTACTGGTACGTTATGGATTTATTTTAACTTTACAACCTTTATCACCAATACACATATTATGATATTTATCTATAATAAATTTCTTATACTGTTTACGGAGGTGATGATATCTTTTGATACTAATTTAATTCGTATCAAAATCGATTTGATACATTTAAATACTCCATTTGTTACATTTAATTAACACACCAAACAGATTAAAATAAGACTTGTCCTTGCCGAGTCTAATTGGATTCAGATTGGTTGACGTCCATGAACATATCAATTTCAATATAGTGTTGTCATCTTGCCATGCTTCATCCTAATGTTATTTTTTATATATAAAAAGATTATCTTCTATTTATAAATATCACTATCGGAATTTTGTGTATTTTGTTATTCAGAATACCTTAATATATTTTGATAATATTTTTCTATGATGTTATATACAGAAGAAAGTCTAAGATTTTTTGCCCTTGACTTTACATCTACTTTGTCGTTAAGAAATAAATCATCTTTATCTTCTGAAAATTCTATTTTTATTTATTTCACTTGACCGTTACACGCACCAAATCTAACTTTTAAAAAATGCCGAAAAGTCCAATTCTAAACTCTTATTTTTGAAAATTTGAATATGGTATTATAGAACGATTCCTTCTCTTTTCAACAAATACTAGGAACCTATATTGTCAGGTTAATTGGTTTTCACATCCTATCGCTGCAATAAACAAGGGAAACAACTCTGATAGACTTACTCCATATTCTGCCCAATGAACGTACTCTGCGTGTCGTAAGTTTTTACGAAGGATAAAAAATCTCTCCCCGTTCTGTCTATCCCTGGTACGTAATCTTATTTACATAAACTAAATGCTAATTTTGCTCACCCTATGTTTTATCAGCACTAGGGCTATTTATATCTAGCTTATCGGTACTCCAGAGGTTACGATCTCTAGTACAGAGAACTATAATGGGCGTAACCTGTGTATGCAATAATACTCTCTTCAGCTTATTTCAATCTGTTCAATTATACCTATTGCTGCTGTCAATCCCTGTTGTCACAATGCATGTTCACCATGCCATGACGAAGTTACATAACTAGTCACCAGATCGCTTTCATGGTTTCAATCGCGTCACCATCACAAAGGTCGAGGTCATATCAAAGGTTAAAATCGCTGCAGAACCTGACTTAGTAAAATATCGGTTTTGATTTCAGCGATGGACGTAGCCTTGGAAATGTTAGGATAAAATTTACTGGTCTATCAAAATGACAGTACAGATTATCAGTCATTACCGTACTGCTTTAGGAAAAACTCACAGATGTTAAATTGGTTTCAAAGTTCACTTGGTCTTTGCTGTCGTTATTGTGTATACTCGGGTGACTCCGACTGTTGAAATATCCTGTCATCACATTCGATAGATATTTGTTGAAACATCTGCCAGTGAATTATTCTCCTATTCACAATGTGCTACATTTTCTCTCTTTCCCTTCCATCGTAAAATTGTAGAGATCGTAAAATATTACAAAACAGTAGGTGACAATAAGACTGGCCTTGTTGTTTATGGTGACAGGTGATATCAGAGCTAGTGGGAAATTTCCAGGAATTTCGGATGTTCACTTCCTTTGTTGTCTGTTATATGATGTATTTTTACTTACATCGATTGATTGTGACTATTTCCACACGTGAGCTCAGATTCCAGGTAACCCTTTACATGTTCCTGGATTACGTCAGCCCTTCATGTCTCGGTGCATTTTGATAAAATCTTTAATATTTTCAATGAAACAGGTTCTGAAATACCAAAATACAGCCCCTACCCCCGCCAACACGTATACCCTCCCACGCACACACAGTGGTTATGGTAATGATTTATCGTACTTACAGAGCATGTAATCTGATGTCAACACAACACAATTAGGCGAGGGGAGGGGAAGGAGTTTGGGTCGCGGAGGGTCAGGGAGGGTCTGGAAGGGGGCGAAGAAGGGGTTGATCAGATGTTCAGTACATATAAGTGAAGTAAGTTGGTCAGAAGTTTATGATATATGTATGAGCTATATTAATCTTTCCAGACACCAGACTTTAACCTTTTGTCACGGGCGATAAGTTTAATATAACCGTCCTGTCAGCAGACCCAGGGACCTTGAATCTTTGACGTACATAGTTTAATGTATTCGTGATAACAATATATACCCTGCAGCGAGTAAGGATAGACTGTGCCCTGACAAAAGCATCAATTTTCGATTGATAATGTAGTCTGCTTGGATGTGAAAGGACATGCGTAGTATTGTGTAGTGAAGGCGTAGGTGCATTTCTTAAGTGTTTACATGGGACTGTGTTTACGTGTATGGTATGGGCGGTTAGTAAATCAGTAATGCTATTTACTTATGTTTCAATCGTGAGTTACACACAAGGGGAATGACTTGGCTATCAACACGCCACCGTTACCACAAACATGACGTAATCATTTTTGTAATTTATATTAAAATCAACAACTCTGTCTCATTTCTCTGTCAATCCGTCAGGTGATCTCATACAAAATTTTCGAAGCTTAAAAATGTCACTGGAATGCGGATGTTGTCTTTATATCAATTGCATGATTTATGACCACGATGTACTATCGTGACAGTAATCTTTTAAATACACGAAGCCCTTAACTTCCGTGTGTACTTTCCTAACTTTCTTGGCCTACCAGGTACTATACCAGGAATCCCAAAACTTTCCTAGCCTACCAGGTACTCTATCAGGACCCCAAACTTTCCTAGCCTACCAGGTACTCTATCAGGAATCCCCAAACTTTCCTAGCCTACCAGGTACTCTATCAGGACCCCAAACTTTCCTAGCCTACCAGGTACTCTATCAGGAATCCCCAAACTTTCCTAGCCTACCAGGTACTCTATCAGGACCCCAAATTTTCCTTGCCTACCAGATACTCTATCAGGACCCCAAATTTTCCTAGCCTACCAGGTACTCTATCAGGACCCCCAACTTTCCTAGCCTACCAGGTACTCTATCAGGACCCCAAACTTTCCTAGCCTACCAGGTACTCTATCAGGAATCCCCAAACTATCCTATCCTACCAGGTACTCTATCAGGAATCTCCAAACTTTCCTAGCCTACCAGGTACTCTATCAGGACCCCAAACTTTCCTAGCCTACCACATACTCTATCAGGAATCCCCAAACTTTCCTAGCCTACCAGGTACTCTATCAGGAATCCCCAAACGTTCCTAGCCTACCAGGTACTCTATCAGGAATCCCCCAACTTTCCTATCCTACCAGGTACTCTATCAGGAATCCCCAAACTTTCCTAGCCTACCAGGTACTCTATTAGTGATCCCAAACTAGGAAACCTCAAACTTTCCAATTTTCTCTTTCACGAAGACCCAATCTCCCCTCAGGTAAATGTACTCTATAAGGAATGAGACATTCTACCATCAAACCCCAATATCACCTTGGTACTTTATCAAGGAGTCCCAAACCTGCTCTACCAGGAAGTCTTAAAACTTTCCTACGTACTACGAAGGAACCCACACTTCCCAGTGTACTCTTTTAAACTTGATGAGGTACTCACTCTGTGTTCTGTATGCAAAGGTATATCCAACCGAAGTTTGAAGCAACTTTTGGAAAATGTCCGAAATCAAGTTTCCGTTTATATTTTATTTCATTTTTTAAATATAATAAGACGTTTTAGGGGGACACCAGCAACACCTTGTTTGTTTAAGAGTATCGGAACAGTGTCGCCCTAACAATTAGAAGAAAAAATATCCCCAAAAAACAGAGAACAAGTTCCACTGTACAAAATAGAGAAACAAAGATGGCGGCGTACTGTTGAGGTAAACAGAACAATATTTCCCTTCCTTGTTTATGATCAACTGATATCAGAGAAAGATAGGATAACTGATGCAGAAATATTTCTATCTATATGTAAAACATTCGCCGAAAAAAATACACAACCTTGGATACTGGAGAATTCGTTTATTTACGAAATCGGCGAAAGTAAACATGTTAAAATACTCATTGTGCTTAATTCCATATAGTCAATCCTGGCCAACAAACGGTAAGTAATAAAACAAACGACAACATCATCTCTGTTTATCAGGAGCCATGCTCTTGTTGCTGTCATGTGATAGAACGAACTTCGCGTGAACATGGTCCTGGGGACAGAACAACGAACTTCACGGGAACATGTTGCAGGTGATAGAACGAACTTCGCATGAACATGGTCCTGGGGACAGAACGAACTTCACGGGAACATGTTGCAGGTGATAGAACGAACTTCGCATGAACATGGTCCTGGGGACAGAACGAACTTCACGGGAACATGGTCCTGGGGACAGAACGAACTTCACGGGAACATGGTCCTGGCGATAGAACGAACTTCACGGGAACATGTTCCTGGTGATAGAACGAACTTCGCATGAACATGGTCCTGGGGACAGAACAAACTTCACAGGAACATGTTGCTGGGGATAGAACGAACTTCACGGGAACATGGTCCTGGTGATAGAACGAACTTCACGGGAACATGTTCCTGGTGATAGAACGAACTTCACGGGAACATGGTCCTGGTGATAGAACGAACTTCATGGGAACATGGTCCTGGTGATAGAACGAACTTCACGGGAACATGTTGCTGGTGATAGAACGAACTTCACGGGAACATGTTCCTGGTGATAGAACGAACTTCACAGGAACATGTTGC